TATGGACTATGGTATGCGATAGTCCTACGCGGCGGCCTAATTCTCGAGTGCTGATATCTGCATTGATTTCCACGATATTTAAAATTTGTTCCTCCTGCTCTACAGTAGCCTGTCTGTCACGAATGCGAATATTAGTGGGCTGAACACTTCCTGTATCTCGAAGTCTTTGATACACAGGCACAAATGTCCTTCTGTCTGGGTGTGCCCGTTGGCGAAATCTGTTGCGATAAATTTGAGCTGCAAGATTGAATTCTGACGAGCTTCACCGTAAACTAACAACATGTCGATGAACTCTTGATGCGAGAACATTGTAAATAAACACGATGACGTACGCGAACAATAACTAACCACTGTTACTGTTTGCGATCGATTGCCGGTTCGATAAGAGTGATGAATGACCGACGCGCTGTTGTCATGTGTGTTTTAAATAATCAATTTAATGAAACTTACTGACTACAAATTTTGGCCTAACTTAGAAAAACTTAATGCCATTTATTTGTTAATTACCCAATTTAAAAACGTTTTAGATTAGATTATAAAAATTAGTAAGATTGTGGTGATAGTGGTCGATATAAAGCACTTAAATTTGTAAACTATAATGCCATTTAGACAAAAATCTATTGACTTTTGAACCATGGGTCATATGAACTTTTTGACTTGTTTTGACCCCCCCATAACCCATTTTGATAATGACTACGATAACGTTTACACCCTGTATAATAGAAGTATGGGTTTTGTATCACGGATAATTTTTTGTTTGTTATATATGCAGTGTGCTAAGGTACCTTTTGATTGTAGTTATAGTATTTTTGTGGTCACCTGACCCTTTGTAGTTCTACGGTTATAAACCTAATCGTTTTTTGTTCGGTTTAGACACAAATATTACCGAAACTATCTGATAAAAACTTTGCGGCTAGCTTCACGTCAAAAATGAAAAAAAAATAAGTAACCTGTCATGACTGTCAGTAGTCACTAGTATAAAATTACCACAGTTCACTTTACGGGTCATAAAAGCTTTTTTCGTCTGCATTCATTATTTGCTGTCGCTGACAAAAATAACGTGATGGAGGGCTTATCGATTCGTTATTTTTATATCTCCCTGTTATGAAAATTGACTAGCAAAAATTTGTTAGGACCATCTCAAAACATACGCATCCGTTTATCTCAAAATTTCCCTTGCGTACAAATTAAGAAGCCTTGATAAACAAATGCTATTTGAGTATCATAAGTACTACATTATGAGGGTTGATCCCTATGCTCTATCCCTGATTGATTTGCAATGAAGCTAGATTAGTGTATACGTTTTGTTTTCCTACTCAGTCCCTTTTAACATTAATGCTCTTGTTTCAACAATAATCCAGTATTACAATATATCCTCGGTGAAAAAGTTGGTCGACTGGTGAAAAAAAAACAGCCTCTACATCAGATATCAAATGTTTCTTACATAAAAGGGTCTTACTTACATAGCCAAAGTACCCCCGATAGGAACCTATATCGTAACCTATGTTATAATGTAGAGGGTACTAATAGTGGTTGATCTAGATATTAGTTCTATATCTTAGGTAATTGTGGAGCTATTTGAAAAAAAGGGCACGGAGATTACTTTCATCAAAGTGATAGATCTTTGTTAGTCTCAAAGATAACGAAGTAACTCCATTCCAGCGTTTATGACACAAAAAAATTCAAATATTTTTTTAATGATGTTTATCAGATTTAACTGAATGATCACTGAAAAAAATACTATGTAGCTACGACATTGCATGGCGGTGGGACACCCTCACGATATTGACGCTTAGGCAACCAGACATACGCGACCGTGCATGCGCGCTTGCGGCCATCGAGAAGGTTCTGCCGAGGTTCGAGAAGCATCGACGCCCATCAAGAAGTACTATCGTCATATAAACAACTTACCGGACACGTTCTTTTGGAATTCATCGAGATGGAAAATAAATAGTCCAGACCATATGACAGAAGCGGTCAGTCACAGTCGAGCAGTCGACAGCAGGCGATGAGTCACCAAAGAACGCGATAGTCCAGTCGAGAGGGCTATAAATTTGTTATAAAGTAGTGCTATAAATTAGTGCAAGATGAAAATTAGACTTTCAACAGTAAAGACGGTATTTTCGTTAGAAGATAATTTTTGTTCACACCTTAACTAATAGCATACCAAGTTTCAAATCCAAAAGGTATACCAATTCGAAAAAATTATAGCAAGTGGACCACCTTATGACCGGTATGTTGACACTCTTAAATTGTAATACATTTTTAATTTTCCAGTATTGTATATGAAAGGTTTAAAAATGGAATCATCTGTTCTCAATAGTTAAATCCATACTCATGAAAAATGACTTTTACTAGCCATCGTAACAAATTGCATTAATAAAACTATATGAGATCTATATCTTATTTGATCAATGATATAATTGCTGCTGCCTAGGAGCCACACCCAGCTATTCGATTTCCATTTGCAATAATGTCGTATATCTTCGTGGCTCTTTCTATTGGGGTTGTAATCAATGTAATGTTGTTATTAATGTCATGTACATTTTTGACGTACAGCACATTAAAATGATTATCTTTCTCCATGAGTTTGGCTGAATAAGAGATGGCTTTAGGTGCCAGAGAAAAGCTCCAGGAAAATCGGAATTTTCACGAAGCAAGAATTGATAAAAAGATTGTTTTCGCCAATCCCAGTTGTGAATGAGCACCTCATCAACAAGTGTATTTTTTATGAATTGACTAACGATCATATTTTTATTAATTTTATAGTATAAGTGTAAGTTGGAAATATATCTCTTACCATACGCTTTCTGAAGATATTCAGCAATCCGACAAAAAGAAAGATCGTAGAAATAACGTAAGATACGTTCCATAACATTTTGGTGTCGTGGACCGCATACACTTGTTCCTTTCCTAGAATCATTAGCTACAGCAGCTGCGAGTTGATCCCGTATTCCTTTTAGTGCTGACATAAGCAGTTTGTAGCATTTCTCGAAAATGTATAACTCAACCTCTCTAAGTCAGCGACCGATACAGCGGTACAGAGTCGGTCTGTTTTTTCTGCGTTGACCTGTGCATTGTCAGCGTTAGTGCTTAATTACATTATGCATCAAACTGGTTCTGTATATGGATAACTGTTTTGGCTCGAAAAAATTCAGCTAAAAATCTACGAGATCTTTTATAGTTACTTACTGGTCGAGTTCTAATGCAAATATGACACAAACCTTCTGCTATGCCAATTATATAACACCTAAGTGCTATCACAGGTAGTGGCGTAAGAACAAATAAGAAAATTTGAGAACGCCAAAAAACTTAATTGCTGATTATTTTGACGTACAAAACTTCATGTGGTCATCACCTAAGAAACGCGAAAATTTTCCATTTCCATAGTAGAAATGTAGGTTGTTTGAAAATTCTGCAACCAGGCATGCGTTCTATCGTTGCATATATCGCTAACCACGACTAGAATTTCTGTTTTCATGCAATGATTCTGAGCCGCAATTGATCAATCTGTGGGTCAAGGAGCTTGAAAAAGTCCATTCTCTCAACAGTTATTTATGGGAATACATAGTAATTATCCTTGGAGTCAGCGATGGGTGACACTATACCCCAATAAGCCATCAAGCTATATTTAAATACAGCACGGTGAATTTTTGTGAAAATGTTTATGTTCAACAGTGAGGCAATTTAGACCAAATGATGATAGCATTGCATAGTGAGCACATCTCAATATATAGTCATTTTGATGTTTGGTGCCTCATGTATTGTGCAAATTACTCAGCTACCGCCGCGCCGGTAGCGCGTCAATCCCTTCCAAGAAGCTGACTATCAGAGACTATATAAGATAAAGAATGCACACGTCGTATGGTAAAAAAATAACAGGCTTTATTGCAGGAACGAAGAGTGGTTACAAGTATTGAACAAAATCTGCCTTGTGTCTCGATATAAATCTAATCTTTATAGGAAAAATAACAGAGCTGTATCGAAAAAAAAGAAGTAAAAAGGAAATATTTCTTAATGGGCTTGCTTGCCATACAATTCAATTTGTTGGAATAATGGGCTTGTACCACATAGTTATGTTACCAACAGGATTCCATGGCTCCTTCCTCCTACGAAAAGTTGGTCTCCAACTTAGAGAAAATTTAATTTACAGTTACAATATGGTTCCAAAGCTGTAAGAGTCGTAAGAAAGGTTTTGCAACTTAGTATGAACTATTATTTCCAAATGATTTTGGTAATAAGAAGGATTTAAAAAGCTAAAATTACTTTCAAGTAAAGGCAATGATAATTCAATCTGCTTGCAGTCTTTAATATCAATTGGAATATTAGTATTAATAGTATTTTAAGTGAATATGAGGACAATTTACCAACATAGATGGCTTACATGTGCCTGTTTAGTAATTAAAAACATAAATGCGGATTGTTACTTAGTTTGATTAAATTGGATCAAAATCTTTCTTCTTCAAATTACAAAGTAAAATTGCTTGGAATCTTTATTAATTCATTCCTTATAATTAACGGATACAATTCAAAAACACTGTAAGTTTTTACGGTCAAGAAGAGGTACATGAATTACGAATATGATTCATTTCGCAAAGTTACAATTGATAGTTCGCAAAGATTCAGTATCTCAAAAGGGTGCATTGTTTCAAAATCTAACAGATGATCTTTATGATATAAAGTTTGCAAATGTTCAATGAGGATATTTATTTCCCTATGATTTAATGAAAGAATGGATAGGACGCTCAAATGATTAATTTGAATTTAAATTTATTTGATGTGCGATTTGTTCGAATAATTTCATTTGAAAAGCCATATTTTGTGTAACAGAAACTATGCTTTCTTGGATATTGATAGTATTGTGATCAAAAGTGCCTTGCAAACCTTTAAAGAAGAAAATAACTTTTTAATTCTGTAGATTCAGTGCGTGTTGATTTTCATGTAGTTTTGGATTGGTTATATAATTTAAATTAATAAGGAATTGAGTTTTATGACGATTTTCGATTAATCTTGAATTTCCTAGCGGCAGTTTGATTACCGGAGGTGCTTTGAGCAGAGGGTTCATCAGTAGCGCTCGAATTGGTAGGCATTGGACTGGTAGAGCTCTGTAAAGGATTTTTACGTTGAGGCTTGATTCGTCTCAGCATGTGTTTTCTATCTTTGATTAAAATTTGATTTCCTTGTTGTTTGAAAATAGTGTGATTTTGATATTTTGGTTTGTCCTTAGTTTGTCTGATTGGGATTTTGATATAGATCGGAGATTTTAAAACGGGGATCTTAGATACGCGTTTTTCGTTAATTTTGTTAGTCTGTTTTTTTAATTGATTATAAGAATCGTGAGCGATTTGTTCATTAATTTTGTCTTTTTCTAATATTTCTTTAAGATGTGATGAATAAGGGTCTTCAGTACTACCGTATAATAAATCAAAAGGTGTATGTTTTGTAGTAGAATGAACAGATTGATTGTAATTTAATATAACGTCAGTCATTAGGTCAGTAGTAGTGTCTGTTTTTCGAGTCTGTCTTAGGACTCGAAATTTTTCTCCAATGGTACTATGTAATCGTTCAATTGGTGCAATAGAACTAGGATTGCTGGTGCTTCCTAAGTACAAATGTATTTCATGAGCCTTACAATAATCTTTAATAGCTTCTGAACGTAATTCTCCATAATCGGCATGAAGTGATTTTGGAAATCCATGATGTGAAAATAAATGTTTCATGTTAGATAGTATGTCAACGTGATTTCGTGACATGGTCTGATAGGCTTGGGCATATCGACTAAAGTGGTCTATAAAAGTTACATATTTAGTATTTTCAATAGTAAAAATATCTATGAACACTAGTTGGAATGGTTTGTTACTGAAAAATGGGCCTTGGATTGGCTCTTTGTAAGGTTTTCGTTCGTATTTAGCTTTTAAACAGATTTCGCATTTATTAATGATGTCAGTTAAAGGTCTTTAAGTTTTGGTGTATACTGAGTCTTTTGGAAATGAGAATAAGTTTTATTAATTCTGTTGTGAAATTTATGATGGTACAAAGTTATTTCGTCTTTCATTTCTTGTTTGTCTGAATAAATTGGTTTAAATGCAGCTTTTTCTAGTACAATATGTTTTGCAGAAAAAGAATGTGTCATAATTTTACTAAGTATGGGCAAAAGTTTCTGATCGTCGTACAAAAATTCCGTATTTAATACCAGGGGTACAATAATTTTTTATACAATCCAAAATAAATGAGGAACATAAGTGATTAATTAAAGAGCACCTTAGTGTCTTATTCGGAAGTAATTTGATCTTGTTTTTCTTTTTACCTGTTATAAATTCAATTCGGTGAGGATAGGCATAAAAGTTTTTTGTCTGAAAATTGAATCGAGTTTGGGTTTGATTCAGGCGAGGTGTGTCTCGTGTTAGTCGATCTGTTGTCTGTTTCGTGAATAGTCATTTCTGATTCGGGTGCGTTAGGGATCATTGATTCGGTTTCGAGATAATCCTGAACATTTATCTGGATTCGGCTTAAGGCGTCAGCAACTAAATTTGTTTTGCCTTTTTTGTATTTGATTTCGAAATCGTATTCCTCAAGTTTGATTTTCCATCTAATTAATCTCTGGTTTGGTTCTTTCACATTTGATAACCACACCAAAGGTTTATGATCAGTCTCAATCAGAAATCTGTGTCCAAATAAATATGGTCTAAAGTGTTTGCATGAATCAATAATGGCTAAGAGTTCTTTTTCAATGGTGGAATAATTTCGTTCAGCAGAGTTTAATGTTCTTGAATGAAAACTGATAGGTCTTCCGTCTTGTGATAGAACACTTCCTATCGCAATATTTGAGGCGTCGGTTGTTAACGTGAACGTTTTTGAAAAATCAGGATATTGGAGTACGGGTGAATTAGTGATAGTCTTTCTTATTACATCAAAAGCTTGAATGTAATCAGGATCTGAAATGTTGATTTTCTCGTCTTCCTTTAAACATTTAGTGAAAGGTTTGGTAATTTTGGCAAAGTCTTTAATGAATTTTCTGTAATAGTTGGTTAATCCTAAAAATGATTGAATTTGTTTGATAGTTTTTGGTATTGGAAAATCTTGAATGCATCTGATTTTATCCGGATTTGGTTTAATTCCGTTTGGCGTTATTACATGTCCCAGAAATGGAACGTCTGTTCTTAGGAACTCTGTTTTGTCAAGTTGTATTTTCAATTGATGTTTAATTAAAGCTTGAAATATAGATTTCAAATGAATAAGGTGGTCTTGCAATGATTTTGAGAAAATTATTATGTCATCTAAATAGACGAAACATATTTTTCCGATGTAAGGTTTTAAAACAAAATTCATCATTCTTTGGAATGTTGCTGGAGCGTTTTTCAGTCCGAAGGGCATTCGTAAGTATTCATAGTGCCCGTTGTCGACGGTGAAGGCAGCCTTTTCAATTGAGTCTTTGTGCATAGGAATCTGATGGAATCCTTGTGCCAGATCTAACGTTGAAAAATATTTGGCTTTGCCTAAACTCTCTAATATTTCTTCAGTTCGGGGCAAAGGATATTTATCTTCGATAGTAATGTAGTTTACGAAAATCGATTACCATGCGATATTTTTTAACGCCGGAAGCGTCAGGCTTCTTATTTATGATTCATACAGGTGATGAGTACGGACTTGTACTGGGACGGATGATGTCATCTTGCAAAAGTTTAGCGGTTTTTAAATAGACTGGATGGCGAAAAGATTTCACAAATATTGGGTCGCGTGTTTTGTTCTGATAGAATGAGATGTTACGGTACATGGCTCTAATTTTTCGTTAGGTTTTAGAAAAGCTTCAGGAAATTTTCTACAAAGTTCTGTTATCTTGTATTTTTCCTCGTCATTTATGTGATCAGTTCTTATTAAAGTTCCAATATCAGTTAAATTATATTCATTCTGGGGTGTTTCAATGTCGTAATTATCCAAATTGTCGTATTTGATGCATTGATAGTTTAAATCTAATAGATTTGGATTTTCTGGGTATAGTACTTTGTAATTATTAACGGTACAAATCATTTCGGGTGTGTAATCGTTAGAATTTAGATATTTAATAGGTGGAACGATAATTTGTCCATTTTTGATAGGGGATTTTAGAACTTGATTTTTGATTACAGTGTTCGGGACTTTACGTGGTATTTTGTCAGTGTGGCAAATAAAGTTTAAACGATCAATGGATAGCAAATTCTTAGATGTTTGTAAAGTAGCTTGAAATTTTTGTAGATCATAATATCCTAGCAAACAGTCAAAACGTTCGTGCCAGTCTAAAATGAGAAATTCAATTTCAGTGTTAATGCCATGTTCATTGAACAAACGAATTCGCAAAGCGTATTCACCGTGTTTAGTACCAATGACAGATTTTATTGAAAAGTGTTTTGAATAAATGTAATCTGGAAAATAATTGAAAGCAATTTGAGTGTTGATCAAAGAGACAGATGCACCAGTGTCTATAAGAACTAGCAAATCTAAATTTTGTAAATAAATGTATGGCAAATGTGTGTTCTCATAATTATTGAGATCTAAGTCAATGGGTTTTGATTTGGGGCTTTAGGAAAATTTTAAGTTGTCTCTTCAGGGGGAAACTCGACAGTAGGGTTACTATCTGAATTTTCATATTCTTGTTGGTCATAATTTTCATAATTTGGATCATAGTATTGCTGTTCATCGTATTCTTGTTCGTTTTGTGATTGTTCGGTCGCTTCGGTGTTGGTTAGTTCTTCAGCGATAAAGTTTGGTCTTTGTCCGTGATTTGAGAAAAAGTTAGGACGGTATTGATTCTGTTGCTGCGAGGGGCGGTTCGTAATAGTTGATGTAGACATGGGTGTCGGTTTAAAGTTTTTTGGTGGATCTTGTCTATTTTGTGGATAGAAATTAGGCTGTCGTAGTTAAATTTGTCTTTGAAATTGATTATTAAAATAATTTGGTCTGATGTTAATCGGGCCAGTTGGGAAGTTAGATCGTTGTGGCTGTTGGTAAAATTGCGGATTGTAAAATTGTTGGTTTGAAGGGAATCGCCACATAGGTGTATTTTGAACGGCATTTGTAGGTTTCGGTTTGAATGGCGTTAGTATTTTTGGCATTTTGTTTAGTAAATACTTTGCATTGCGATTGTATCTGTAAATTATCGTATTTCCGACAAATTTGTAAGGCAGCTTGAAGAGTTGTAGGTGTTGCGTTAAATAGGAGTGATTTATATGCTTCTTTAATACCAATTACAAATGAATTTAATGCAGCTTCTGCTTCTCTCAAATTTTTCATAACGTAGACTGCTCTGGTTTTTGTAGCTCTCTATTTCTCTAGGCTCGTTCTGCAGGGACCTCGGACGAGGCTCTCAGATTCTCAGATCGTTTCTCTTACGGAAGCGGATACTTAATACCTCACAATGGTTGGTCCCACAGAAGGGACGTAGTTCAGCTCACCTGATGAATCTCGAAGATTTTGCTGATGCTTGGCTGGGCTCGTACAAACTTCTAGATGTTTTCGTCGAAGGCGTATAACGATCCTGTTCGCAGCGCCAGATAAAAAATGCACACGTCGTATGGTAAAAAAATAGCAGACTTTATCGCAGGAACGAAGAGTGGTTACAAGTATTGAACAAAATCGGGTGTGCCTCGATATAAATCTAATCTTTATAGGAAAAATAACAGAGCTGTATCGAAAAAAAGAAGTAAAAAGCAAATATTTCTTAATGGGCTTGCTTGCCATACAATTCAATTTGTTGGAATAATGGGCTTGTACCACATAGTTATGTTACCAACAGGATTTCATAACTTATACAGTCATGCGTACAATGTTATGGCGTTGCCTTGCTACGGGCTGCTCTGATCTGGTCTGCTATAAATGACCGTTTGAGACTATCGAAAATTCATTTTTGAAAAGAACCGGTAAGTCTAAACCTACGGAGTATGCATGGATTTACCGCGGCTTGACGCTATTAGTGGCTGAAAAGTGTACTGAGGAATTTGCCTGGTTAACTGTTCTGTGATCATATTTGTGTCGGAACTCGATGGCCTTTTCTTTGCTGTTCAGGTCCCTTAGGCAAATTCGTACTATTATGCCCCTGCCAACCGGGCGCAGAGTGCACCATTTTTATAGCGGATTTTTTCTATGCTAGTAGCTGAATTGTTAATCTTGGCTTTGCGAACACTGTTCTATTATTTTACTAATTTGCTCCTACCATGGCTTATGGCTTGCCAAATGCCAAATCATCGTTCTGACAATGTTAAATTCAGTTTGCATGACCTACCTTTCCCTCTCTAAGGGCTCTTCTAACTCAAAGCTTTTTATTCTAACTACGATAATGTATGAATGCTCTATAGCTATAAAGTCGTCATTCAAGTATTTTTCAATGTTACACAAGCTGCTTTACTGTTCAAGCTTTTTTCTGTTTTTCAATTCACCAAAACTGACCTTTCTTTGAATCCTCTCAAAGATTTTAATTATCCAATATCTACCCTATTTTTTTAACAGGACGTCATTGTCGTTTGACGTTTCCGTGTCCTTCCGGCCATCTAAATTGTTGAAGCATACGGCTTGCCATCCGGCTAAATTGAATTTGCTCTCGAATCCTCTGTACTAAAGACAATTAAACTCTGGCTTTGTGTATTCGGCAATCGTCGAGAAATGCCTGAATGAAAAATAGGTCAGAGGTGCACTGTATTCATTCATCCTCATTTGTTCCTCTTTATAACTAAGCTAGTAGTTTTTGAGATATTTGCCTGGTCTATCAAATACACTTTTTAGACGTTATTTATAAAATCTGCAAGTTATCCCTAGTTGATTTGCTTTTGAGCCCAATTTTACTAATCCAAGGAGTGGAACACAAATTCAACCAATAATGAAGCGTCTTCTAGTAAAATGTCTCTCAAAGTAGAGAATAATTATATGGTTTGTGTAAGATGGCCCCCTAGTTCTCATATTGTATCAAGAAATACGCCATAAATCACTTGGTTCGACTACATACACTTATATTTTCAGTTGCGTTCCAGCACGGCCATGATCATATAATGCTTCAATAAAAAATAAGCATTTGCGGCATACAAGCATGGATACAAATCTGATACAATATCTAGAGATGTGACAGCAATTAGATTTACATTTTACCGAAAAGCACAGTGTCTCACTGTTGCTGTAAAAAATTCTGCTTGATAAATTCTTAGAGGACATAAATAAACATCCGAATGTATGCCTTTTAGCGTGTCCGTGTAGTCGTTCTATCCTCCAGTAGAACGCCCGAGATTTTCCTGACATTGGAACATTTCATTTTAAGATATACACTTTTCGTTTGATATGCTTTGTGCCCTAGAAACAGAGCCACGTTTCTCAGAATATCCTTAATGATATGCGAAGACTTAAGGATGTGAATCTACATGAAAAATTAATGTTAGTTTGCTTTATAAATGACGGTTCAAAAATGATTCCTTACAAAAACTCGGGGAAAAAATGGAAATAAATATTTTCAGAACCGCTTCAGATATTTTACGATATATGGTACGTAGTAAGAGTTGATAATGTTGCATATTTTTAGATGCAAAACTAATTTTAAGCTTTAACAGTGGCGTGCGTACGGGTATTGAGTTTTTTTAAGAAAAAAATTGTACGCCAATGGTTTTTTGCTAAATAAAAATTATTTTTGAATTTGCCGTTCAATTTAAAACAAATGATCTCTCTTGAATTGTTTTTCTTCGATGCGTCATGTTTGATTAAAAAAATAAAGACCGTTCTATTGTCAGAGAAAATTAATGTAATAATTGGAGAATGCAATTTACCAATAAATATCTAGTTGCTCTGGAAGATGTCACTGGCTTTTGACATCTGACAAGTCTCTGTTATTCAAATCTGTTCGCTGTAGCATCTTTTTCATTATTTATTTTTTAAAATCGTGTTAATAATGGTGAATTATTCAAATACAGAAATGGCGGAAGTGCATTACGTATATAGCCTTGCCGACGGTAATGGTGAGCAAGCCAGCCGGATTTATCACCAGAGATATCCCGATCGTGCTTTACCAGATCGCCGAACATTTTCTAATATTCATCGTCTTGTTGAAACTGGTTCTGTCTGAAAAGGAACATCTGAAGGTAGACCTCTAAGTGTGAGAATACCTGAAATTGAGGAAGCAGTGCTGCACGAAGTCTAAGAACATCCTGAAATGAGTACGAGGAAGATCGCTAGACACTTAAATATTTGACATCAAATTGTTTGGAGAATTTTAGTGGATTTTTTGTTATATCCTTATAATACTTTAAGAGTACAGGCATTATTTCCCATTGATTTTCCAAGGCGTGTGACCTTTTGTCAGTGGAATCACACAAAATCCGCAATTTTAATCAATGATTCTGTTCACGGACGAAGCTAGTTTTTCTCGAAATGCCATTCAGAATTTCCACAAAAATCATTTGTGGATAGAATAAAATCCATATGCGGTAACCGAAATCCATTTCGAACACCAATTTTTGGTTAAAAATGTGCAGTAATTATTGGCAACCACTTTATTGGCCCATTCTTCTTGCCAAGGCGACTTGGAGGACAGACTTACCTCAATTTTCTTCAACAACAGTTGCCTTTGCTAGTTGATGATATCCAGTTAGTAATAAGAAACAATATGTGAAACATGCATGATGGCGCACCAGCGCATTTCAGTGTAGCGGTTCGTAATTATTTACAAACTGTTTATCCAAATCGTTGGATTGGCCGCGGTGGACCCCAAAAATGCCCACCAGTTTAGATTTCTTTTTGTGGGGCTATCTTAACATACTAGTATACACAAGTCCCAGTAACACTGCAGAGGAATTAAGAGAAAGAGTAGTTGCAGCTTGTGATAGAATAAAAAACGCTCCACGGATATTTCAACGAGTACGCAATTCCATGAGGAGGAGGGTGGAAGCATGCATACTACTGATCGACCAGCCAAAGATTGCTAGGGACGAAAGGGGGAAATGCGATGAAAAAACCTTACCATTAGACGATTTTATATGGAGTCATAGGCGGAGATCGGAGAGACTTGAATTATTAATTGAATTTATATTTTATTACAACTGGTAGTATTAATATTTTTTTGCGATTCATAATGACGTGATACCAAACATACATTATAAGAAATAAATATACACAAACACTGAATATTGAGAACAAAATAAATATATTTTTTAGGCAACAAGTAATATTCCTATGTACGCATTATGATTGAACAGCAAAACAAATTATGCATTCTTCTAAAATAGAATACAACAAGTCAAAAATATCTGACTGAATAGAAAAATATAGGAAAACAAAAAGTAATTTCTTGATGAAATAACCCATAAACAACACATAGAATTAGACTTTCTACTGAGATACTAAAAGCCACAAACCAATAGTATAATAAATGAATATCTAAAAATTCTAAAAGGTAGCCAATCTAGTATAGTTTCAATCCTGATTAGAGTCATGATCACTGTCTGAGGAACTGTCATTGCTATCACTTTCACCTCCTATGTTGATTATTATTTCTTCCTGTATTTCTTGAATGAGACTGTCTTTTTCCCAATATTCATCTTCAATTTTTATAACATGTCCAATAACCTTTTGCCAGTCACTGGCACTTACTGAAGCGATGGCCTTATTAGAAATTTCATCTAGTTTTTTTATAGTAAATTCGCCGCTTGTATTATGGCTTCTAATGAAAAATTTTACTTGTGCCCAAATCATCTCTATGGGATTAAACTGACACATATAGGGTGGCGTTCGAAGTGGGGTGTGTCCGAAACTTCTTATTAAATTATCTATCTTATAATTTTTCTCATCAGATGGTGGCCTATGTAGACAAGCTATTTCATAAAGCTCCATTTTTTTAGCATTAGGATCATGCTCTATACCTTTTTTGCTCAACCACGTGATGATGTCTCTTTTTAGAGAAGATCTAGTTGGAGGCTTGTCTTCCAAAGCTGAATGGTAAGGTGCATTATCCATTATTATAATACTATTAGGAGGAATGTTAGGAAATAGTTTTTCAGTAAGCCACTTCGTGAAATTTTCTTGGTTCATTTGACCGTGATAATCACCAGTGGCACAGCCAGCCTTGAAAATGAGACAGGCTCCAGGAACAAAACCATCTTGCGAACCCGCATGAACAATTATAAGTCGTCCTGGAAATGAATAAATAGCCTCATTTTAGTGTTATTTTAAGTTTGCCAACACCTTTTTGAATCACTATGTATAAAAAACATATTTTTGAGAAAAAAATACTTGCAAGGGATTATGTATTCAATTAGACAAATTAAATGAGCACTTATTAAGAATATTCCAAAATTGAGAAAAATGTATAATAAGCAAAATCGAGGTGAAAGAAACTTTATTACCTGTAGAACTTATATTGCTCAGGACACCCATAATTTCTTCGCTTTGCCAGCATTTCTTGAAAGTGAGGTCATTATCAACCCAAGTTTCGTCCAAATAAATAATATGCCTTCCTTCTTCCCGGAACTTTTTAATAGACCTAAGATACTTGTATCGCCAATGTAAAATACTGGGTCTTTCCATTAGTAATTTCCTTTTGTTGTGGCATTTACGCCAGTAAAATCCTTTTGCTTTTAAAAGCAGCCTCAACGATTCTTTACCAAATGGAAATTCCATTTCTTCCTTCAGTTTGATTAGAAGTTTACTACAAGTAGGTACCACTTTAAAATCACAGTAAAATTTTTCTATCATTCTCCGAATAATGGAAA